GGGAGCAAGTTATAGGTCTCAGGGCTTTGCTTCTGAACAGATGAGAAATTTTAATAATAAAAGAAATATTTCTCAGGGCTTTGCTTCTGAACAGATGAGGAATTTTAATAATAAAAGAAATCTTGGAAAAATAATTGCCAATATATCGTATAAGGCAGTATGTTTTATAACATATATTCTTAGCCAAAAGAGTTCCTTTACAGTGAATTTGGAGGAGAAAGGAGAATTTAGAGGAGAGGAGAATAAAATCATAACTGTTTCCTCAAAGTATAGTACAGCCTATTGTATCACAGTGTTGATCTGAATCATATAGGAGAATAAAATCATAACTGTTTCCTCAGAAAGTATAGTATAGCCTATTGTATCACAGTGTTGGTCTGAATCATATGTTCTCACTTTTATTTCTTCTTTAGACATCAGTTTTTACTTTACTGGCAGAATTGCCTATCGTATAAAAGTAATGCTCCAAATTGTACACATTACCACTTTATTTCTTCTTTAGATATCAATTCTCATTTGCTGCCAGAATTTTAATATTTTTTTCTGCAAAAGGTATTTAAAAGCTTCATTTCCACAAAGTCCTTCTTCTCTGTGAAGGTTTTATATTGCAAATTGTTGCCAAATTAAGATTTCTTTCTTAAAATCATGAATACTTAGGAGGATACAGCTTCACTTCATTGTTACATTCATAGTTTCTTTTTGTTCTGTCTTTTTAGGTTAAAGTTGAAGCATATGCAAGTTAATTTAGAAGAATGACAGAATACAATGTTATTTCCTGAATCTTTCAGCATTTAATGTTTCTTTGTGTTATGCTGTTACTCAAGCATATGTATCTATATGCAGTATAATATAAAAAGATCATAGAATCATAGAATGTCCTGGATTCCATAGGACCTACAAGCATCATTGAGTCCAGCTCTTGGCCCTGCACAGGACAGCCCTAAAAAATCACACTATGTGCCTGAGAGCATTGTCCAAATGCTTCTTGACTCTTGTCAGGCTTGGTGCTGTGATCATTTCCCTGGGGAGCCTGTTCCCAATCACCCTCTGGGTGAAGAACATTTTGCTAATATCTAACTTTAACCTCCCCTGGCACAGCTTCATGCTCTTCTTTTGGTTCCCATCACTGGTTACCAGGGGAAAGAGATCAATGCCTGCCCTTCCACTTCCCCTTGTGAGGAATCTCTAGGCTGCGATCAAGTCTTCCCTCAGTCTTCGCTTCTCTTGGCTGGACAAGCCAAGTCACCTCAACTGCTGTAGATTCTCCTGTAGACCCTTCACCATCTTTTGTTGCCCTCCTTTGGACACTCTAGCAGCTTTATATCCTTATTACATTGTGGTCCCCAAAACTGCACGCAGTATTCAAGGTGAAGCCGCACCAGCACAGAGGGGAGCAGGACGATAACCCCTCAATTGGCTTGTGATGCCTTGCCTGATGCACCTCAGGACATGGTTGGCCCTCCTTGTTGCCAGGGCACACTTGTCATTCATATTCAACTTGACATCAGCCAGGACACCCTGGTCCCGTTCCATGGCACTGCTCTACAGCATCTCATTCCCCAGTCTGTATGTACATCCAAGGTTGTCCTGTCCCAGGTGCAGAATGTAGCACTTGCCCATGTTCAACTTCATATGGTTGGTGATTGCCTAGCTCTCTAATTTGTCTAGGTCTCTCTGCCTTCAAGGACGTCAACAGCTCCTCCCAACTTAGTTTCCTCAGCAAACTCCTTTAAAAGGATCATAAAACATTTTATATTAATCTTTGATGAAACGAAATTATGCAATTTTTAGGTAGTATGCTGGTTAGCATAGTGACTGTATCTTCAGTGCCTCCAATATTTTTGGTGCACTCTTTAACTTTTGACAGTCAATAAAAATGCCTAGTAGATTCATTTATTTCAAAAAATGAAAGGAGATTCTTTGATGCTGATTTGCCACACACACACACATTTGGAATAGAAAGACTTGACTGAGGAGTTTTCTTTTAGCAGTTTACACCAATTTACCCTTTTGGTATTTGTGTTTTCATTCAGGGCTCTTTTTCACTAACTATACATGACTTTACTGGAAACAGATACGTCTGCAAATGCTGAACATGATTGAAGATTAGGAGCTCTATCTTCTATCTTTAAGTGTTTTGTAAAACAAGTTGGACTGAACATGATTGAAGATTAGGAGCTCTGTCTTTAAGTGTGTTTTGTAAAACAAGTTGGGATCTTAATTCATTGACAATAAAGTATGTGCATCTTTTTTTATACAGTTCTAATCATAGATTTAGATTTGATGCAGTTCATGATGTGGACAGAGGGGAACTGATATATGAAACTAATATATCAATGTTACTCATATCTTGAAGATCCATTTCTGTTCATCAATATAGCTTATGCCCTGGTAACATCACTGAATGACTTCTTTAGTTAAGGGGCCAGATATTAGTTTAGATCGGTCTTCCCTTCCAGACAGCTAATTATGCAGAAAATGGTATGAGTCTTGTTACTTAGGCAGTGCTCAGGAATGGGTACCAAAGGAGCTGAGATGGATGGTCTCAGGTGGCAGCAAATAGAATTACTCTGTCAGCATCATTCAGTTTTTAGAGCACAGTGATGATACATGACCTTTTTCTGGTCAAAGTAGCAGGACTATCTGGAACAGGGCATAACTCCTCAGTGGCTGAAAGGAAATGAAGCACTTCAGGACAAATTTTATGAAAAAAATTTGTTTATTTTGTAGTAACTTCCAATATTACAATTTAATAATAGCTTTTAATAGTGCAAGGATAAAATATATATTTATAGTTATGTATCTATTTATATATTTACAAGATATAATATAAACTGTATATTTTATATAGAAAATATTTAAGCTTTGAAAAATTTTATAATAGCTATTGTCTGCTATATGTTACTTTGATTATGAATAATTAGTTGGATTATCATAGAATCATATAATTTAGGGGTTGGAATAGACCTTAAATCATATCATTTAGGGGTTGGAATGGACCTTACAGATCATCTAGTCCCAACCCTCCCTGCCATGGGCAGGGACACCTCCTCACTAGATCAGGTTCCTCAAGGCTAAAGTTCATTTATTAAGTGTTTATGCCTGCCTAAAGTAAGAGCGGAGTTTCAATTTGCATTCTTAGTAATCCTTTCATATATGAGAGACTTGACTATTAATGTTCCAGTTATGGATTTGATTGTTAAATGCATATAGTCAATTTGATAAATACATGTTTTTTTACCCTGGCTGTAAAAAAAAAACAAATCCTGAAATTCAAAAGTATAATTCACAGAAAAAGATGAGTATTTGTATATTTAGGTCTTTAATAGATCAAAATGATACAATATATTACAGTAATAAAAACTGTAAAAAGAGAAGCCTAAATCCTCTTTGGGTGGAAATCAGGAGGACCATAGAAATTAAGGGAGTTTTATACAAGAGTGTAACTGGTTAGGATGGAAATTGACTTTGGTATTTCTTTTAAGTATTTTGAGTAGAACTGCAGTTCTTTGGAAGAACAGGAAAGATTAGCATGAAAATGATGAATACAGGTGGGTTTTTTGACAGCATTATACTAGAGTTTCCAAATATTTCTTCATATTTTAGAATACCTAAGTTAGTAGAAGGAAGAGTGGGTACTTGAATATATTTTTAATGAAGTGTAAGTTCTCCCCTTCTGGAAGGCTTTTGTACAGCTTTCTGAAAGGTTTCCTTATCATTGCTCACAGTTGTTGGTGGCTCCAACTGTAAAGATAATAAATGCCAGAAATCCAAAGGTTAGTAGTATAGTATGGACATTAGTTTAAGAAAGAAATCAATTAGATATTATGATGAATTATTTGTGAAGGCAGGCAATGAAGACAATTGAAATTGTTTATCCTTATATTAAAATTCATGCTCGTTGAATTCAAGAATGCCATTTAAGACATTGTTGAAAGACTTCACTTATCTGTAGTTAAAGCCTGAGATGAGATGAGGTAATGCACAGCTGAGAAACCATCAGCAATGTATCTTCCAGTCCTGTTAAAGACTCATATTAAGTGAAAGCAGAGTTTGAAAAAGGAAAAAAAAAAAGAAAAAGAAATAAGATAAACTAAAGAAAGGAGATGGGGGGAGAAGAAAAATTAGAGACACTGCTTTTAAGTGGTATGTGTTAAGTGTGGTGTCAGTGACAGGTTTTTTGAGAAAAAGCTGCTGCCATGTGGTGTTCATGATGTGCTGGTTCTTGTGATTATTCTTATATGGTGTTTTTTATTCCACGGAGACATTGAAGTATGAATAGTATTATGTGGATATTAAACTTACATGTACAGTGACTCTTCCTAAATAAGTTTGCAGATAAAAATATTGGATTAGTATTAAAAATATGAAGAATTCTGAATCTCTCATGGAAATTTAGGAATTTATGTAGTAAATGGGACCCAACCATTTAACTTAAACTTTGGTCAGGATTGTCTGTTTCAGGAGGAGAGCAATTATGGAATAACTTGCAAGACAGCTTTTTCTTTATCACAGGGATTGTTGACTCTTCTGAATAAAGGGAATTTAATGTAATTAATTTTATTTTTTTCCTAATGTAACTGTATATCCCATAATCTTGCTATTCAGAGCCTGTTGTAGTGATGAGCTTTGACACACATTCATTCTTTCATAATGCACTGATCATGGAACACCTCTAACATAACAAAAGCTTTTAATTTTTAATGACTGCATTTAATTCGGGATGGTTATTTGGAGCGGAAAGGTTTTGTATTGAATTATATTTGTATTAAATTGTCTTTGCAGTAGACAAAGTGGGGGGGAAGTAGGTTCTCTAAACAGAACTTTGTCACAGGTTGAAGTTTCCTATGAAGCTACTGTGGCAAGTATCAATAAAATCAAGAAACCACACCAAGACAGTATACATGGAATAAAATGTGGACATAGGTGGTAGTTTAAAAAGAAATCAGAAACATTAGAAACATTTGCATATGAGTTTTTGTTTCTCCTCCTTCCGACAGGAAGACCAGGTAGTGCACCATTTGGCAGCAAAGATAATTGAAAATGTTTGCACTACTCGTACAAGTCATTCCCAAGGATTTATTACAGGAGGAATTGTACGTGGCTTGTGGTACCTTTTCACACATTCTACAATAGATTCTTTGAAGATAACTTCTGTTTCGGTAAGGAATTTCCTTTTGTGATATTGAAGTATTTTGTTGTTTATTTTGAAAACCATTCTGAACTGAAACTGAAATACATTTGAGCGTGTTTCCTGTATGTTCATGTGTTTGTTTCAGACTACATTAAAATATATTAAAAATTCTGAAATTGAAAAGTACACATAGTTTAGTGTTTATGAAAAGTCCTCGTGATTAATCATTTTTTGGGACATAGATTTTCTTATGTGGGTAACCATCAGTTATGTATGAAAAGTTTAACCTTTGAAAGAATCAATTTAATTTTTGCAAAATTGAAATTTTTTGTATTATATTTTAAACGAGAAGTATTTCTTCTTTTTATCACATGATTGCATAGACTTATTTGAAATCATCATGTTACTTTCCATAAAATTTCCAGGGCTAATGTTTGCCCTGAGTTGTTGAGGTAATATGGGGTGATAACAAGACAAACAGTGCTATGATATGCAGGCAAAAGGTTTGGAGCAAAAAGATTCGTAAGGTAGAAAATACTTAGCAGGGGTGTGAGTTTAACCGTATATCTTGTTGACAAAACAAAAGCATTACCCACCAATACAGGTAATATTTTAGAACTGAACAATACATTGACTTACTTTGAAGGAAGTGTAAAAGTGGATGTTCATTTCCTGAGTAGAGTTCAGGCTCACTAATGAATTTGCTGTTGGCTTCCCGAATGGAAATTGGTACTGTCGCTGCTGCAGCTGTATGCACATAGATGCATCTAGCATTGAGGTGATAAAATGTATCTGAAGTATGCTGAAGAGATAAATGGTAGAAAAAAAAATTAAAAAATATATGTAATTATTAATTATTCATCTCAATGATGAGACAATTGGACAAATGTCTTGGCATTTTAGAAGCGGAAGCTTATTTGGTAAAATACATGTTAGAGAAGCCTGTGGCATCCAGAATTCTTTGCAAAAACAGTCTTAGAAATTTTATGAGTAGGGAACTGTCAGTTTCTAAATATGTAAAATATATGTATGAATATGGCTATTAGGCTGCTTTTTCAGAATGGCTCTTTTTCAGAGCCTTTCGATCCCATTTTGAACCAATTTGATCCTTTTTGAACCCATTTGATCTGTGAGTTTTCTGCTTACATCATGAGCATATATATGGTAAAAGACTAGAGATAAGAGTTCTGATTTCCTTTGCTTATTGAGTATTTAACGTACCCTGCTCAATCCCCTTTTTTGAGTATTTAACGTACCCTGCTCAATCCTCTTTCCTACTGCTACTTTTGCTATGAGGGTTGTTTTGTATCTTGTGCTTTCAGTTCTTGTCAGTCATTAGACTGGGCAGTTGTTACTTGTTTTCTACTAGGACAAGGCAAAGAAAGGTCACTAGAGGAAGTGTCAGTGGGTTTTTCTCCCCCTCACATACCCCCATCTTGAAAAGTCAGTTTCTTCAGTATTCTTGAGCTAGGCAGGAGGGTTTTTCCTGTTTGGTAATATGCAGAAGTTATGGTTCTGATTGTCAAGAATAAAGTCATCTGTGTAGACTCACTATGGGTTTCTGTTGCAGTGGTCTCAGAGGTTAGTCTCATCAATGCCATGTGGTTTGCGTACTTTGCCCTTAGATGAGGTGTCTAGTGACTATGAGAAGAGACAGTTGTTTTTTGTCCCTCGCTGTCCTCAGTCTCTTTTGTGATCCCAGGTCATTTGATTCTTTAGGTCTGATTTTGTTCCTGGATTTTTCCTTCCACTGTTTTGGAAATTGTTTTCTTTGTCAGAAGTCTGATGTTTTATAATTTTCTATGAAGAGAATTGGACAAGGAAACTTCTAAAGTAGAATAGAGCGGTAGATAGGGTGGTACTCTAATCCTTTTGCCGCTTTGTAGCGAAACACTAAAGCAACAAGGGTGAACTTTTTTGTTGAATTTATTACTCAATGCCTGATATAGATTGTGGTAATGTGTTTACTGCTGGGACATCTATATATGTAATCTTAACTTCAGAAAAAAACCCTATCCATCAATACTGAAATCCAGCACAGGCAAATCTTTTACTAGTTGAAGCTTATGGAGATTTCAGTGACCTACTAATTTTAGTAGTAAAATCCTAATGCATTCTCCAGCTATAGTGTGTACTGTGCAATTTCATTAAATTGCTGCTACAGATATGTAGGCATTTTTATTCTGCATGACCACATAAATTGGCATCATCAGTGTCCTATTTTATTTTATCATGCAGTCATTCCTGCCTTGTTTGAATGTATCCTGAAGAATTTATTCTTGACTGACATCTATATTCAGATGTAAAAATACATTTCTGCTAAGGAATACATGTGTTGTATCTTTAGTTGGAGGTAGCAGTCTGTCTGCGAAGCATATCAGCAGTAGGGCACTATGGAATTTTACTTATGATTATTTCAATCAATAATAAAAATATATCAAGACGATTCTCTGCCTTCAGTCTCTGGAGTCAAGAAATGACACTTTACCTTCTCCTGCTTGTCAGAGGTGGCAAATGGGGACTGTGTCTCAGTATTTTTTTCTCACTTTGGAGTCCAACATGCCTCAGGTAAATATCACAGGTTTTGCCTGTAGGAAAGCTATGTCTTTTTATCATTTTGCTAGACTCAGGAAAAGAAAAATTCTCTAAGATGTCAAAGTGATATCCTGACAAGCTCAGCAGCAGGAAGACTATCTTCTTTCCAGTATACTGAAAGTTTTTAAATTGTTTTTTTAAAAATCATTTCAAATTTTGTTTCTAAGAGATTGCTCTTTTTGCTGGAGGAGAAGTAACAAAGCATAAACTGCTTAAGTGGGAACTAATTTGGGAAAGCTCAACACAATCTTTTGAGGGGTTTGGTTTCTTTTTTCTTAAATAGCTGATGCTGAATAGTTTATTTCACAGACATGTGTATTACAAATACTTTAGTACATTCATTCTCCAACTTGAGAGAGACATGGAGGGCATCGTGAAAGGGTGAATGCTATCCAGTCATGTGGCCTGTAAGTCCAGAAGGATAGGGCATTGATGGTCCTGGAATCATAGAATATGACCTATCTCCATCTGTTCTCTCCAGATACTGAATTTACTGAAGTGATTTAGAATGCCTTGTCCTCTATCCAGTTAATCGGACTACTACCAACACCCGACAGGGTGTGGTGTCAGGTCACTTTCAGACTGTTAGTTTGGGGTGTTTTTTTCTTGCTTCTAGATTTTTTTGTACTGTTGCATTTGTTGTTGTTTTGTTGTGTTGTTCATATTAAATTGTACTTCTGACTCGGAGTCTCTCACCGGTTTGCTTTCAAACCAGCACAGTGGACTGGAGCATTTCTTCTGCCTCCAAAGCTGCAGTATGGTCCTAGAAGACAGTAGTGTCTGCTGTCAGATTTGCCTGGAGGTCACCTGATGGCCTGTGACTTTGGTCACCCTTGTTTGACAAGGTCTGTGGCAGAGAACTAAGGCATTGGCCAGTCAGCATATGCCATGTTAACACACCAAGTTAGCTCCATGTTGCTTTGACACAGTCTGTCCTTAGGTCCTAACAGTTCCTGGTAATACAAACCTCAAAGATATTTTTAGTGAATGCACATACCTTCTGCCCACTCATTTTGAGAACTCTGAATAGAGGTGAAGGGCTGGATTGTATCCTTAGGGAAATAGAGCATGCTGTACTAAGAAACTGAGATTGAGTGTCTGTGTTTTAAAAGGAGGGGGATAATAAAAGAAGAAAAATAAAAGGCTGCAATCGATATGGTTCCTGGACCAGAAAGGACAAGGAGGAAGACGACCAAAGTAGATGAACAGCATCAATAAAATGTCTGTTAAGTTCCTGATTTACTATCTTTTATGCTTACTTTCTTTCTATTTTTTTAACCTAGTTCATTTTGAGTCATGTTTCTAGGGGCACTGGTGAACTAGGCAGTTTCTGAGGTTCTTAAATGGAAAGATTTTCTCTAGTGGTAGTATTCTGTGGGTGTAATTGACTGTAGTTTCTCTTAAATGAGATCTCATTATTGAGTGCACACCAAGTAAGCAGAAATTTTTAAATATACTCAATCTGAAGAGCACAAAGAAGTCATAATATTACCTGCTTTTCACAGAAGGAAGTCACCTTTGAAGGTTTTCCTGAAAACCAATTGAAATTTTCATGTGAATCAAATAATTGACATAAGCTATTTTCTTATCCTTACACTACTTTCAAGCCAAAGGAAAAGAAATTTTTAGTGTTTAAAGAATGTTATTTTCTTTATCTGGAGAGAACAAAAGCAGTTAGAATATCTTGAAGGTTTCATATCCAGAGGTATCAAAAGGAAAAGCTGTGGTGACTTGGAGATGAATCCACCCAGGAGGTAATTTGGTAATGTTTGTTAGGAAATAGCTAAGTTAGTACACACTAAACAAGTTTGTGCTCACTTCACTAAAGCACAGTCAGTATCTGTGTTTTCTGTTAGAATTGTTTTAATCACTGATATTTGCAAATCAACCATATGGAGAATAGTTTGCTTATTATTCTAACCACTGGTCTTTAACAGGTATCTAGATCTGAAATAGTATCTAGAGATAAATATAGACTTTAGATACTGAATTACTACATATCAGATGATGATCCATGAGCAGAGAGAGGGAAGATGGCTAACTTTATGGGTGGCCAGAATTTCTGTGGTTTGTGTGCTATGTCTGTATTTTCTACTTCCTGTACTCCTCTCTAGTAGAGTGTTACCTGATGCTGCCTGCATTCTGTGCTTGACAGGAGACTCAAGCATGGACTGTGCTGCTCAGTCATTATTGTTCTATTGATGTTAATGTACGAAATATCTGAATCTCAGCTGCATGGAGTGTATAGCAATATATTTTGAAGAATTCAAGGTCTCTAAAAATGAGTTGTCTTTTCCCCTGATGTTTATCTTATGAATGAATCTGTATGAATTCCTTATGTTCCTAAACAATTGAAAAAGTTGCCACCTGTTTTTATTCTGTTATTTTTACTTATTTAATAGTCCCATTAAATAACAAATTTTTTTCCACTTCTGTAGGCTTTGTGCAGAATTACTCGTGCCTCACCTGATGCTTTCCGGAATCTTATTGAGAATGTGGGATTAACAGCTGTACTATATTTCTTGGCAAATGGAAAATGCAAAGTTCAGCAGTACATACTCACCATGTTTTCAGCAATATTGTCACATGGGATTCATCTGCAGAGGCTAATTCAAGAAAAGGTTTGATTTCAGATTTATATTATTCCTGGCATGGAATTTCACTCAGGAGAAGTTAAAAGTTGACTATGGTAGTGGTTTTTCTGTTTGCAAAATGCTTATCTCACTGACATTTACGTATCTGAATAGCAGGAAATGAGGAATGTGTTTGTTTTATATTTTTATTTGCTTGAAATCTAAATAACAAGGTGTATAGTTTTTCTTTCTCTCATAGATCTTGGAGAAATGGTACTAATGGGTATATAAATTGTTACCACAGGTAGAATTCAATCAATTCATTAAACTCTAGCCTGACCACAACTGATAATGGCCCTAAGGAAAATCAATAAGGAATATGTAAGGACTGCTATTTGACATTAGCTCTTTTAGACATTTAAAAGAGAAAATAATGAGTGTCCTGATTGAATCCAAAGCTGTGCTTTATGCTCTCCTGAAAGGACTTTAGGCCAATATGTAAGTGAAACGTCTTGCAGAAATTAGCATTTTAATACCTTAGGGTTTTCTTTTTAGTGTCACTGAATAAAACTACTGGGTTTGATTTACGTCTAATATAATTTTTGGTGGACGTAATTAAAAACATTATATTTTGATTGCCAAATTATTTTGTGCTTAGAGAAAGAATTTATTTTTTTGGCAGTATGTCCGCACAGTTCATAAATAAAAGCAATCTCTCTCTGCTTGGAAAGGTTAAAAATCACAAAGGAAATAGGAGCTCTAGTTCTTGTTTTCATCAGATACTCTGTTGTATTGTATGTTGTAACCTGACAGTCATCTTGATTATGGTAGTCTGTTGGGTGTTAGTTGAGAGAGTTTTGTTTCTCTATACATTGTTTGGATGATATTTTTGTTAAAAAAAAAAAGACTGTTTTCCAGCCATCTCTTCTTGCAACCTGAAATCACTCATTCTCTTCCTAAAAGTCAGTTGTGTGCCATGTCAGAATTGCCAATATGTTTTTCTGAATGTGTGTTTGCTGGCCTTAAGCTTTGTACAGATTTCACAACAGCAGCACTTAACAGGTGGCAAATTGTCCTGTTATGTTGCAGTTTCTAATAGTGCACATTACTGTGAGTTGATAGAGAAGTATGCTCAAAAAATATTCTCTTGAACATTCAGCAAAAGAATGCAATGTGTAACAAGCATATGGCTACAGCATATTTTCTGTGGAAAATATCTTGTTTATGTAGGACTTACATTGCTAAAAGGACTTCCTTTCTGATGCTGTTCTTATGAACAATATTAATCTAATTTAGCAGATTAGAAAATTGAAATATAGACAAATATTAACATTTCTTGACCAGCATATATTAAACTTATGATAGAAGTGTGTATGGTACCCAAAGCTGCAACTGAAAAAAAGCATTGTACTTCGAAAACTGCTAAAGTGGGTCCAGTTCTGCTGCATGTGCCCACATGCAGTTGGTGTACAGCTGCATTATAACTCAGATATATCTATGTCTCATAGAATGTTTATTTTGTTCAAATTAGATTGTAGGATTTTGGAAGCAGAAACAAGATTTCTATTTTTCCTGAATAGGATCTAATGGTGTAATCCTGCTCCTGAATCGAGCTGCCAGGTGCTATCATATTACACGGAGTTATATTTTAGTGCTGGAAACTGAATTTAATACTCTATGCACTTTTCAATATTCCATGTGCAAGACACACAAGTCCACCTTAATGAGAGAAGGGAAAGTAGTGTTCATCTGTGGATTATTTTGCCTTCTATAGTATTCATGTATATTGTAGCTGAAGAGGTGGAAGGACCTCAGTGTCACTCAGAAAGGAGTAACAAGATTGTGACTATCTGTTCAATACAGCTGCAGACTAACATATTAAAAGATGCTTAAACATATAAATTCAAGATGGAGATATTTTAGTTTTGTATGTGTTATCTGGAAACTCTCTTAGCTTATAAGACTTAGGGCTGCCCTTGTTTTCTTTTCCCTTCAAGAACAGCAATAAAAATGAGTTACCATATAAAAGCCAGAAGACAAGGAGAAATACAGTTCTGTAATAGTATACACTAGTATAAATCTTTCTTCAGAGAATCTATAATGACTGAAAGGGACTGCTCTTTGTCCCTCCGTGATACAGAGCCTTTCTGTTATAGTTTTTTGTTTTGGAAACTCAAATAGCTAAAATGATGTTTTTAAAGTAAAGTGTGGCAAAAGAACTCCAAATCAAGAATCTTTGACACAATGTAGAAGTAGATTAAAAACCCCACTGCTGATTATTTTCCTCTGGTTGTCAAACTTTCACTTTGAATGAGTGAAAACCAGTCATAGGACTTTTTGGATGCAGTTATGTACTTCCAGAGGTCAAATAATGGGGCGGGGTGGGTTTTATTTGTTTAGGTTTCTTTCTCAAGTACTAATAAGTAAAATTATTCAGATAGTTTCAGCAATACATTGTCACAACTGCAGTGTTTCTTTGCTTCCCTGCACCATTGGCAGGGAAAAAGAGATAAGAGACCATAGTATCTTTTTATCTTGGTCATATCCAGTTATGGCACTGAAAAAACAGCATTATAAATACATCAGAATTGTTGTCCTCCTATTTCAGGTACCCCTTTCAATTCTTTGTCTTTTACCTGAATGTGGACAAGTAGCTACCTCTGATGTTGATGGTTTTCTAAATATCAGTACAAATTCATTAAAAGATATACATGTCTTTAACAAAATCTATGTAACTCTCAGATGGCAATATGGTGGCATTCACAATGCATAGAAAGGGAATTTGAAAATAGACATCAATACAACAAATCATTGCTATTGTAATTTCAGTTCTTCTACAGTGAACTAGTGGTCTGTTTTCCCCTTGTGTAGACAATTCAAAAATGTTGTTGCTCTGCAGTATTACCAAGTGCATCCAATATAAAGTCATGATCTTGTTGCAGTTGCAAGTGTGTTCACTTCAAATGAAAAGAGTGTCCTTACTCTGCAGAGTCTCCATGGATGCATCAAACAGTTGCAGGGGAGGAAAGAACAATATAACAGTGATGTGATTAATAATTAATGTATTAGTCAGTATTTCAGTGCTTTTTTGGCTTTTCTGATCTATCGAGTCCCACAGGTGAGCAAAGATGTGCTCCAGATTTTCTTTGGATAAACTGTTGCTGCTTTGCAGTCCTCAGACCAGACAGAAAAGTAAATTCCAAAATGTCACATTTATTTCTTAGGACAGATTATCAGAACATTCCCAGGTAAATCTGATATAACTCATTTTAATTGCCAAGGTTGTCTTAACCTGTGGTAATCTCCACATGTAGCATCGAAACATTCTTGCTTTCCAGAGTATGAGGACTAAAAGTAGTCAGATGTTCTTTGGATTGTAGTTGCATGTGTCTTTGTCATGGTGTCCCTGTGCATGGTCTGTCTAGTCCATTTATGCTAGTACAATCAGTGTTACGTTATATATACTCTTTGACTCAGTCTGAGGTTTTATGTGGTTTCTTAACATAAAAGCTTTTGTTTGGTTGTTTTAAGTAATTCCATTAAAAAAAGAAAAACCCACCACCAAACCACAAACCACATTCCATTAAAATTTCAGCCTTTGCTTTTAATGGATTGTAATTGAAGAACTTTACAGCTGCAAGTTCATACTGGAGGACCTACAAGTCATACCCTGTGAGCTGTTGAAGTGTTTAAAGCAGTAAACTTTACACAGCTTACACTTTTTAAACACAAGATTGGGGAGCTCTTCTGTTTATGAAATAAATTGTTGAAATACAGCAAAACAGTTCTAGAATAATTAGTTTGTTTTTCTGGGATTTTTGTAGTTACTGTCAGTGATGAATGTTTTTGAAGACGGGGTTAAAATAGTATCAGAGTAAAATTGATGGTTTCTTGGCCAACTGTTATATTCCTTTTTCCTGTCTCTGTAAAGATGTATAGCTAATCGTTGCAGAGGCTGTATCTATTAGATCACATTCAGTGTTGATTTGCTGTTACTCTGTCAGCAAAAGAGGAATTTAAGTCATACTTTTTATGTTAAATGTGCATTACACAGCAGAATTCTAAACCCTGTACACAACATGCCGACATACACTTCACACATCTATTCTGTAGATGAGAATCCAGCTCAACTCTTTGGTAGTTTCTGTTCATGAGGCCTTTTGTCCTTAGTCTAATTCTTGCATAGAGGCACTTGACTCAGTTTGTAAATTCTTGCTCAGTTTTCAGTTCTGGTTTTTTTTCTGTTTTGGTTGGTTGGTTTGGTTTGATTTTTGTGGGATTTTTTTGAGAAGGAGAGAGTCTTGAAGTAGAGTTTGTGATTTCAGAACAAGACATTCTGATCAAGAGCTGGTCCAAAAATACCATCTCTACTGCCAACAAGATATTTTCTTTTTCCTTTTTTAAGCAAGTAGCCCAATTGTTCATTGTAGAAGTACAGATGCATAGCAGATATTTTTATTCCTCAGAGGCAGAGGATACTCCATATGGCTTCTTGTCATTTTTCTGTTCTTTTCTTTCTTCAGTTCTTCAGGAGTTACATGATATTGGTGGACAGACCATAAATGATCCTCCTCTTACACCTTTTGCAATTCATAATACTGTTACTCAGGGTTATGTATAAATAATATATTTAAATAATGACTGATAAATTTAAAAATAATAATAGGGTATAAATAATTCTGTTACTCATCATTTGAGAAGTGTTTTACCTTTCACTGATTCTCAGCTTTATTCCCTTGGAACCTGAAGCAGTACATATGAATCTCATGTCTTTCCATGTGTCAGGCCACATTCCAGAAACTAAAGAAAATCCTTTCAATATATAGGGCAAAAAAGAGAGAGAAAAAAAAAAGCTGTGTTTTTGGAGTCCCATCACCTAACTGTTGTTAAACTTCTGAAGGGAAATATTTTGTGGTTATTCTTTATTTATCACCATCCTTGTTAAAATTGTTTTATTGTTCTTTCATTTGGAGTGAGTTAGCAAGGATCTTAGCTACTTATAAATGGATTTTATTGTAGGAATAAAGAATGGTCAGTGGATTATGAAAGTCATGGCCTCTTACTGCTTGTGGTTTATCCTATCTTTTTTCTCAAGTCCTAATTTTGGTTTTTTCTTGAAAAGATGTTCACTTTATGAACCCCAAATAAAATTAGTTTAGATAAGAACAATCAGAGAAGGTAGAAACAGTTTTACCATCTTTTTAGGCCATCTGGTGTTAACTTTGGACTCTTATGTAGACAAGATTGTATTCAACAATGGTGTTGTTTTTAATCTTCCTGCATATATGGAATAAATAGGTAAAAATTTAATCATATTAGTACTTAAATATTCTTGTATGCTGAAAATAGTTCCGTCTTCTTTTAAAATAAATATACTAAAATATCCTGTGTTTACCCTTACTATAAGACATTTTACAATGTAAGTTTTATCTTTATAGTTAATTTCATACCATTTTGGACATGGTACCTTAGATCGTGCTTATTTGTTACACTAGCACTTGTGAAGATGTACAAAGCAGCTTTGCACTGGGCCAGTCTGTCTCAGACAGAATTTATTTGCTAATGTTTTATGGATTTGTTTTTTTATTAGTGATATGCAAAGAATCTTCCTAACAGAATACATGTGAAAATGAGCAAATTTTAAATTAATACAGTATTACAATACAGCGTGAGTAACCTTAACATATTTGTGTTTATTTCCACCAAGGATTTTGTGGCTACAATTACTCATTTACTTGAAAGTTCTTCAACTTTTGTTCGAGCAAAAGCCTTTCTGGTCCTGCTACAAGTTTTAATTAAAAACAGGAAGATGCTGCTACTCAGTTATCAAGCAAGGTAAGGTGAAAATGGAAGATAATTAAAGATGTACTATTTAAAGATGTACCTAAAATACTTTAAAATGGGTGGTGTTTCTGAGCCAGGAGTGAACTGTTTTCTGTGTAATATGAATCCTTTCATTCATGAGAATGTAAAGAAAAGAGTGTTTTCTTTTGTCTGGGATCATCGGGTGATGATTACTCACAAGGGGAAGCCACTGTCTTACAGGGAGAATCTGTCATTTAAAGTAACTTGTGGTCCCAGTGAGCATTACCAGGAGCAGATTTTGCTTTGGGTTGGGCTAAACAAATACTGTAGGAGTGAGTTGCCACAGTGGGAAAGAAAAAATAAAAAGAGGTGAATCTGTCATAGAATCAAAAGTTCAGTCATGTACCTTCCTTATCTTGGTGTTTGGTATAATCCACAGGCTCTTCAGGATAGGTACATTCAAGGTAAAATAGTATTTCTTGGCTATATGTATTGTGGGAGTGATTTATATAATGACCAGTAAGTTCCTGTGACTTTTACATCAAGTGTTTCAATTTTTTATGTTTTAAAATACTTTGCAAGAAATGACTGACTCACAGTGGAATTGTTATTTGAGATTTTTATGTCCTCTGATGGGACAAGAACATTCATATGTCAGACAAGAGCAAATTAGACTATGTTAGAACATGAATTGTCACCATGTCTTGAGGTGACTGGAGGAGTAAGATGAAACAAATTTTAGTTGGAGTTTGTATCTTGTACTGTTCAGTATGAAGAAGAGAAATGAAGTATAAATATAGTTTTTATAATATTGAAATAATGCAGGCTTGGAACCAAAAGTAAAAAAGGATAAAGCGTATGGGTAGCTGTAAGTCTGACTACCTTTACAGCAGTTATAACTTTGTCTTATATTGATGTTTGAGGGCTGGGTTGAAAGAAGCAGGTGAGTTGTACTATGAAGCCATTGTGAGAGGACACCTTGTGGTGTGCTATAATTATATATCCTTCCACTCACATGCAAACCTGTAGATATCCTGGTATTTGCAGAATCATGGAGAATAAGTACTGAATCCAAGTTTCTTTTTTATGTATATCTTTTTTTGTACTTCAGCAGTGTTTTATCAGATTGTGTTCTGGTTAGTGAAAAACGCCTGTAATGATTTGTAAGTGACTTCTTGAATGGTTAAATTTTTAATAACTCTTGCCATTCATATGCTGTATATGTCACATGGGACTCTGCTGTGTGTTTGGAAAAAGGTCTGACAGAAATACTGCATGAACCGTTACTATTTGTTTATTTATACTTAAGATATTATGTGAAGAAGAGTCATAGATTGTTAAGGGGTTGGAATGGACCTTAAAGATCATCTAGTTCCAGTGCTCACTGCCACGGGCACACCTCCCACTAGACCAGGTTGCTCAAGGCTTTGTCCAACCTGGCTTTGAACACAGCCAGGGTAGGGGCATCCACTACCTCCCTGGGAAACCTGTGCCAGTGTCTCACCACTCTCACAGTAAAAAATTTCTTCCTAATATCTAATCTAAATTTCCCCTCTTTGAATTTATACCCATTACTCCCTGTCCTATCTGTACAGTTCCTGATAAAGGATGCCCCTCCAGCTTCCCTGTAGGCCCCTTCAGATACTGGAAGGTTGCTGCGAGGTCTTGCACACAAGCTTCTCCAGGCTGAACAGCCCCAACTTTCTCAGCCTGTCTTTATAGTGAAGGTGCTCCTGTCGTCTTATCAATTTTTATCAACAGTTTTCTTTATTTACAATGCTTTTGAATGGGCATCTTTTCTGAAGAGAATGTATTATGAATTTGGGATGTGATTTTGTATTATGAATTTTGGCTTTATCCTGCTGTTTTATTTTGATGCTTCATTGACTTAAATTATTCTGCCTTTTGGAATTCTTATGTGTTGAAAATAAATGTCTTTAGTCTTTCACTCATATTGCATATATTGGTCTTGTATTTCAAATTTAAGTGTATTTTAAAATTAGTCTCTCTCTGATGAAGCTTGCAGACAGATCCACTCTTTGTTAGCATCACGTATTGATTTAAATTAGTAGAGTTGTGCTTACTCAAAGTAGCTTAAGGGTTTCTTTCCTTGTGTTCTTTGACTCAGTCATTTGTGTTATTCTTAAAAGTTGTTTTATATGAAATAAAGTCTAGAATTTCAATAAAATTACGGAGCCAGAACTAATGTATCATCTTGATTGTAACCACAGATACTATAAATGTCTGGGTCAGTAGTATCTTTGAGATATCATGTTATTTTTTTGTTATGAGAGGTAATGTTTTGCACTTGTTTCAATGTAGACTCGTGATGTATATTGAAAGAGACAGCAGAGAGGCCACGCTAGGAAAAGGGCAGCAAGGTGGCAGCGAATACCTGTCAAAATGCCTGAATCTTCTCATCTATCACATTGTGCAGGAGTTGCCAGGAATTCTAGGTAGATTGGGTTGGTTAACTGAACAAATCTTACTTTTCCTTACTTCCTCAAGAAACAGGTATCTCCTTATATATACAAGTGGAAAGACTATTGTCTGATAATGTTAAGTTTGCATGTTGTCAGCTTCCTGATGGTTTTTTTTGTTATGTCATGATCAGATATTTTGCATTGGAATGCATAATTTCCTGTGTTAATGTTCTGTATTTGTGGAATGGTAAGCCCCATCAGCTCAGTCAGGAATGAGGCCCAAATGTATAAGAAGTTTTATCAATGTTCTAAAGATATTCCAAACATTGGAAAACCTAAGAACAAATTTGCGTCATAAAGCACAGAGCTGGGGGAGATGCAACAGGCCATATCTCTGAGTATGTGTTAATCACTTAGCCTGAAACATATATTGAGTATTTGCTCCAGGCAATTTTTCTGGGAATTTTCAGCCTACATATTGCAGTTGTTTTACATGGGTGAAACTGATTTGCTAATTCATAAGAGCATTTTTTTCATAAAATTATTTTCTGATGAGATATCTGATTTGTTTTGCATCTTCTCTACGTTATTGCTAGAATATTGAAAATGAAATGGTAGCAGTGCAAAGGTTAGTAGACCTAAATGTCATGCTGCTATTTTGAAAAAAACTTTACTTCCTATGCCAATGCAAATTTTTGCCTTGCTGCAAACACCTGATCCCCTTCTTCTAACTAAATATCAGGTTTGCATATTGGCTGTATTTCAGGATAGAAGACTCAGACTATAAATGTCTGAAGCAGAAATTCACCTCCTACTGTTTATATATACTATATGCAAGTAGTATAGGTAGCCCTGATATTTTTTCAGAAGCTGAAAGTACTATACATCAAATATCTAGTTACTCTGTATCAATTGCTTAAACGCGTATTTACTACTGATTTACAATTTCAATGCATTGTTAGCAACTGATATGGTGTGTAATTTTTACACTTTGTTTTCTTTTCCATGCTAGATCTGTGTGTTAATTGTTTTCCTTAATCTGAAGTTATCTGTCTGTATTTGTCCACATTTGTCAGTAGTATGATGAAGGAACATGTTCTGCTTGAGGTGGTTAAACTCTGGGCTCCTAAGAACAGTAATCAGATTTGAATACTGCAACAGTTAAAAGCAGTTTAACTGTTGATTTAGAATTAATCCTAGTTGGCTTTTTTAATATGCATTTATGTAAGCTCCTTACTGATCCCATTTTCTTCCACCAGATGTAGCTATAAACCAAATAGATTAACAAGTTTTAGAAATTGGCCTTGAAGATCCATTTAAATAAACGAAATAAATTATTAATCTTGTGGATAATATTAAAAGTTTTCAGTTGTTGTAAGAAAGTAATTTTATTTCTGCATTTATATTTAATCTATTTATAGGAAGTAGATACGAATTGCTTAGATCATGCTAAAAATAAAAGTAACCATATCTACTTATCAAGTGCAAAATTACCAAACATGGTGATTATATAGTTCTTAAAACATAGAGATTAGATTGTTCAGTAAGTCATTTATTACTAAGCACAGAGAGGTCTTGTTGAATTACTGTATTATGTGTAAGTCAAAACAACAATGTATTGATGAAAAAACAGTATTTTGGTTTCTTGATCTGAAGAGTTTTAAGCAACACTTTCTTTTCCTTCAGCAGTGTATTAGAGAATGAATCAAATCTTTAAGGCCAGGTATTTTTTCAGCCTTCTTTAGTGCCAGGCTCTGTCACTTCTGCTGTTCTGGAACAGAGATGCTGTTGTTTAGTGAAGCAGTTATGTTTTTTTCCGTAGGTGATATTCTCTCTGCCCTAAGTAAAGTCTCGGGACGTAAATATCCATCAACAACTCAGACCAAACAGCTGCAGATGTGCCTTCCTATGATGCCTGTAGTGCTTCAACTTGTGACATCCCAGGTAGATTCCCTACCTCCCTCCCAATTTGTTAAAAAAAGGTCAAACTCATGCAATTTCCCAAAATCTAATTTCTGCCGATTATGATTGGAATGAATAAAATAGAACTTTTGTTAAATTGTAGGTCACTTGATGAGTATTCCAGCTATGAAATAGTATTAAAATGTCTTATCTTTGCACATTATTAGACAACTTTAATGATAGAAGCAAATGCATATTTTGTCCTCTTTTTTTATTTTAACACGTGAAATAATTGGTTTACTTTTTCCAGTCATAAAGCATGCATTTAACATCATTTGTTTTTTCAACTTTGGCTAAATTCAAATAGGTATTTCGTCCTCAGATAGTCACAAAGGAGTTTCTTTCCAACTATGGCACTTTACTTGTGAGTATAACCATCTAAGTTAAGTATTTTTTACAAAATATACCTATGCATATAATTTTGGGAATTACTGTAATGTAATAAAAATATATGAAATTTCTAAATTGGAGAGAGAACTTTATTCTGAATATATATTTTAAAGCTTTGATTATGTTCAAAACTTTATATATAATCAGAAAATATTTTCTGTAGTAATCTATTGGGTCAAAGGGCTACTCTGCACATGTCTGATAAACCAAGAATTGCCTGTGTCCTTTTTTTTAGAGTAGAAAAATCTAGCTCTAAATTGCACAGAATAGTCTTTCTAGAATTTCATGTTAGTATTTTATGAGTAGAAATGAAAGAGAAATTATAATCTTAGCTATATTTAAGGTATTATTTCCTTTTGCACCTTTTTCTTCTTGCCAGTACTTTTACATATATTTAGTTGATGAGAAGCTACAGAGCTAAATAACTGTCTCATGTTAACATCTACACCATATTCATGACATTAGTGATAGAAAATGAACTTTTTAGCTGTGCCATAGGATACTATAGGAGAAATTAACTAGTAGAGTTGTAGTGTAATTTCCCCATATAGAAACCGTTGTTTCTGATAAGTGAGGAAAAAAAAGCATGTTCTAAAGTTGCATATCAGAGTTAAGCAAATCATAGTATAGTAGAATCAACCTGGTTGGAAGAGACTTCAAAGGTCAAGTCCAAGCCTACCATGGTTACTAGACCATGGCACTAAGTGCCACATCCAGTCTCATTTTGAAAACCTCCAGGGATGGTGAATCCACCACCTCCCTGGGCAGCCCATTCCAATGCCTGATTACTCTCTCTGTAAAAAAAAGCACTTTCTAATATCCAACCTAAACCTCCCCTGGCAGAGCTTGAGTCTGTGCCCTCTTGTCCTACTGCTGGTTGCCTGGGAGAAGAGACCAAGCCCCACCTGACTCCAACCTCCTTTCAGGGGGTTGTAGAGGGCAATAAGGTCTCCCCTGAGCCTCCTCTTCTCCAGGCTAAATATTTTTAAGTGCTTGAGTTCATAAAGGATGACTATGGAGTTACTTCCCCAATAGCATGAAGAAATTCTTCACCACAAACAGCTCAATGTTCAGATTCCCTCCTCTTCCTCTTTTGACTCTTGATTCCAAGAAAAAGTAGTTTTAATTTAGCTCTACTAAAATATTTGTATAAAAATTAGCATTAGAATGATGAAAAAAATTTGAAACTATAGATGTTGAATTACAAAGCCTTTTATCCCTTTGAAGCATTTGTAACTAGGCAGTAGATTTATTAATAGTTTTCTATCAACCTTCTAGAATGTGAAATTCCTCTGTCAACAATATAGGTACAGCAAACCAGGTACAATGTAAGTTTTCTTTTGATGTTAATCCAGCTTACTTGAACTACTGGCTGAGGAAGTCAGGCTAGTTGTACTAGCATAACTTTCCCCTCAAATCAATGAGCAGATTGCACCATATCTCCTGCATCTTGTTCTGTCTCCGTTGAAATAGGCAATTCAGGAGCTTACATACACTATGTGTATTTACATGAAAAGGGAGGACAAGTAGTATATCTGAAAAATTAATATAAAATTTGCATCCATTTTTTGGAATTGTTTTGTGATATGACTAATATAATTACATCTGGAAGAGCAACATTCTATCAGGCAACAATCTGGTCTGGAATTTCATGTTTGGAACTTTCCCACTGACATCTATAAAGGGATATTCAATCTTGTACTTTTTCAATGTACTGTGCTGTAATTGAGGCCTCTAAGACTTTAGCAAGTCAGTCTTTCAGTTTTTGTTTGTTTTGTTCTTTCTTTTTCTGATTTTATTCAGAAATTTTACTCTGAACAATAAGGAATGATGAGGAGTAGAAAGATGTGTACTTGGTATCTGGAAGGAAAAGAATACTTATTTTCCCGCAACCATTGTTCATTGAGGAAATTTTTTTCTTGCTGCTTTGAAGTTGCTTCCATCATCACTGTAATTTTCAGTAGTGTTGAGCAAAGAAATTGAGAGGGAGTCGGGACAGCCCTTTCATGTTTTCAGCTGTGAATAGAAGGACATGGAGGACATGCTGTGCCCCAGAGGGACAGCTAATAGCAGGCTCCTAGTGCATGCATAGGGCACAGACTCACCACTAGCAAAATACACGTACTTGTTTCTCTCCATTGCTTAAGAAATCCCAGATAGTTGCAGGGGTTTGTTTTCTTTTCTTTTTTTATTTTATTTTTTTTTTTTTTTTAATAAATACATCTCCTTCTTGTGTTTCTAATGTAAAGTTAAGGAAATTAGTGCCAGAACAGTTTTTGCACCAACTATTTTGATTTTTTCCAAATTGGTCTTGAGACTATGGTTGTGTGAAACTGCCTTAAAATGAACAAACAAAACAATTTGTTCTCTTCCAAAACACGTTAATTAGATAATAACCAGTAATTTTCTTTTCTTTAAGTGATCAGGAAGATAACTTTTTTATTTTACAGAAGCAGTTGTTTTTTATGGCTGCCTCTGAGATGCTTTTAAGAAATGAAATATGCAATTAATTTCTAACTCTATTTTTAATCAGATAAAAATCCTTCAGATGTTTCATACATAATGTGAAAAAGATAATCCATGTAGACACTTCTGCCAATTTAATATGTAATAACAAAATTTTAATTGATAGTGAAATATAAAACAAGTGTCATTTTCTTAAATACTGCAGTAGTAAAAAGGAGTATGCTGCAAATTCTACTGAGAATTTTCTTTTTCAACAAATGTTAATAATATGTCATTTGCATCCCAATGAAATAAACACCTATGGATAGAAATGAAAGCAAAAGAATAAAGGGTCCAATTGTACAGTATTTGCTTAACTCAGATTGGTAATTTTTTATTGTCCCCTGTTCCTCAAAATGGTGACTAAGATAATTTTTAATAGAAGGTTATGCATCTCTATGTGTTTGTGTGTTACTGGATCCATAGTGTGTGTAGTATGCCTGGAGATCAAAAAAACGGTACAAATAACAGAAAATTTCATTTTCTGGTGGGTCTTTGGTAGTTTCAGTGAGTTGTTTTAACATAGACATGTCCAAGATAGTTCAAAGTCTTCAAAGAAGTTGCCACTTTCTGCTTGCAATAAAGACATTTAATTACTGTCTATTTAGCTGGAAATGTCATCATTCCTGACATTATTCAGAGTAATAGTCCTTACTGTACTCTACCTTTAAGTGTCCAGCAACATTACAGACTTGCAAAGTCACAGCAGCTATATCATTGGTACTCAGTCTTAATTATTACAGAAGTGTTTCCTGGTGTAAGTGTATGAACATTTTGTATTTTACACAGTTCCTTAAAGAATTTCTTGTTTTAATTATTGAGAGATTATGCTTCTTAACTTTGGTTCCTTTGCTTTAAATACTGCTTCTTTTGTAGAAGTTCATCAGCTTGATAGATTCAGGAAAACCAAACTTGGATACAGCAATAGGTAAGCTAACCTGTTATATTGCAGTACTTTCATGTGCAGATTTAACTGGTGCATTTAATAAAGTGATTCTTACCAATAGGGAAAGCTGGTTCAGAAGAATTGATTTGGACTACTTTAATGACCTTTAAAGCTGCAAGGAAGCATCCTAGTTTGATCGCAATCCATCGCTTTACCGTAAGTCTGGCAACAATTTAAATAGTTGTAGGCTAATAGGCCTAACTCTATTGATAAATACAATGTTTTGAAGATTTAGAAACTATTTAAAATATGGCTTAAAATATATTGTGGTTCTGTTTGACAGGAAAAATACTTATTGTTTATAGAGAAATTTTCAAAGAAGCAGCAAGGCATTCAGGTTCATTTTACTGTATTTAGCTGGGAAATTAGAGGGAGAAAGAGAAGGACTTAAAGTTTAGAAATAGTAGTTCTTAAAATGGTTTTCATGTACATAGAATACTAGAGTATGTCAAAGCAAATATGTTGCTATATGTTAGTGAAAATATGGCCACTTTATTTGTCATTATGCTTTTAACATAGCTTGGAAAGACCAGGTCTGAGAGTTGATCCCATTCCATCACATTCTTCTTGATGTGATCACCAATAGCAGTTATGGTGTCAGGTTTTTTTATTCTTATTTGTTTGTTTGCTTCTTTAAGTATAGCAGACTTCTTGCTTAAAAGTTGCATTACAGCTACAAAACTCACATACTGTAAGCTTCTTACATCACTAAGATTTGTTTTCTTTGAAGTTTTTGGTTAAAAGCTTTTGTGAGCTGAGCTAGATGAAGGCAGAACAATTACATTGCGAAACAGCTGTCAGCAAATCAGGAGGTCTGAATGAGTATTTGACAAACCATTGTAACCTGTACCACTGCATTTTTGTGTCTGAATTCCCACCAAAAGTATAACCCACCATACTTAGTGGGGTTACCATTTCATTCAAATTGAAATTTATGTGTTTGTATTGAAATGAAGTTAAGGGTACACTTAATATAGTGCTTATATCAAGATAGGCATTAACAAGTAAATGCGAGTGAGGGATCTTAGGGATGGTGCTAGATAAGAACTGACAATCTTAGAAATTAAGTGGTTTTAGAAGTTGAATCCTATTTGGTGTGCATGTTAGTTGAATATTTAGATTATAAAATCTTAGTAAGTGAAAATAGTAAAATTAATCCAAAATATAGATTGAAATTTAAATAAATGTAATGTGTTTTATTTCATTAATGCTCACAAAAACTGGTTCAAGAAAATGGTCCTTATGCAAAAAATTCTAACCAATTAATAGTCTGAGGGGAAATAGTACAGAGCCAAACTCTTCAATTTATTTTAAAGTAATACGGCAAAAAATGTTCTAGAAGATAAATGCTAAGTGTAGGTGAACTATGAATGCCTACTGATATCTCCCTATATGTCTGTCACCTGCCTCTCACTGTATTTTAACTGTATCATTCCAGAATCACCTCAGTTGTTAAAAATAAATGCTTTTGTGGGTTATCAGTGGTAGTAGTGTGCAGTGCTTGTCCAGGACTTACGACACATACCACTTCTGTAGTTTCTCTGATTTAGAATAGATATGAAATTGTATCTTTGTCAATGAACAGCTGGGTTTGGTTTTTGTTGTGTGTGGTTTTTTGGTTTTTTTTGGGGTGGGTTTGTTTGTTTGTTTGTTTTTTAGAAAATCTATTACTTCATTCATTTTCATATATAACAGCTCTTCTTAATTTAAAAGACCCCTCCTGACATTCAGCAATAGTCATTCAGGCACAAAATAAAGTGGAGAAATTGCTTTGCGTTTTGTATGTTAAATTCGAGAAATTGTACATTGTAATTAATAATCTCTAACCACATCTGCCACTAGTGGTGCAAACAGTAATTAGTTTAATACTATTTACGAAGTCTAGTGTGCTAATTATACTTGAATGTACAGCATACATTACTTTAGAGGAAAGTGGTACTTCATCTTCTATGATGCATACAGACTATTTTTGGAATTGCTGTTACTCAAGGGATATCTTCTAATTGCGGTTGGCTGAGCATGACTGGAATCTATGAATATAAATGCCAGCACCCAGCAGAACTTGGTGCTGTTTTAAAATGTTGAAGCAAGACAAGTTCGAGCTTCCAGATCAATATTTAACAGTGGTTAAATAGGAAACTCTTTTACTGGAGAGAAATTTGTATCCTGGGCTGAGCTCAGAAGCCTGGATTGCTCATTTAGACAAAGTTGATCACAAACAGGATTTTAGGGAGGGGGAAGGCCAAAACCTTCTTGAAAAGATCCATTTTGTTCTACTACTACTGTGATACTGTTTAGAATTTCTCTAATCAGAAATTAAATGCATTTCTAATAAAGTTTAATTGATTTAATGAAAAGTGGGGTTGTAGTGAGCAAGCAGAACCAGAGGTTTTTTTTTTTTCAGTTGAATTCTGGTTTTAGTTTAGCTGCAATGGAAATTGTATAAGTCAACAAGAATTTAAGCTTGTTCTGGGTTTTAGTTCATGTTTGATTTGCCTTTGTATTTGTACCTTGAACAAAGAAAATAGAATAAATTGATTTTTTTTTTGTGATCAAATTTCTGATTGCCATTAACCTGAATTCAATTACTGAGGAGATTAATTTCTGTGGGGACTGACTATATTAGATATTGCAAAGTGTGATAAAGTCAATGGAAATTAATTGAAAGTGCTCAAATGAAAGCCAGCAGTCAGCAGTAATTTCATGTTGCATGCAGTTGTGTGCATTTTTGCAAAGACTTTTATAAAGACTTACAGTAAGTATGATTTGGCAAACGTTAATAAAACTAGATTTTCAGGTATGCAAATATGATGGTGTAGGTCATCAGGAAGAGTTTATAGATTGGAGTTGAAATACAAACTCCAGTTTCTTGAACTGCCACAAGTCCAACTGCCTGTTTCCTCCACCTACCTAAAATGGAAAAGTATTTATTAAATTCAGATAGTAAGTGTTGTAATATTTTTTTTCAATTTTTGGTAGAAGTTGAGATATAATTAACTTTAAGAATTCTGTGCTGTGTCATCTGCATTTATCTTTTCTGTGTTAAGTATATTTATTTGCCTGAAAGAAAGGACATATGCTAATTCAGAGCACTTAGAGCAGTGATGAGGCTCACGATGGCAGGCAGTTCCTTTGGGACTCCATTCTATACTCTAACTAGCTCCCAAAAATGATCTGTGTACTGCACAGATGATCTTTTACCCGAAGCATGAAAGTTGTTCGCTGGTTAAGGCAAAAGTTGTCAGCAGTGATTCTCTTCCTCAAGGTTTTAAAACTTATTTTTTTAAAAAACCAGTCTAAAATAAAAGCACCCTGAACATGATGAGTTGCTTGATGGGAAGTCAAGGGAAAAGCTGTATGACATGGAAATCTACTGTTTGACAATGCAAGAGTTATTACTTTCACCAAAGATGACAACACAAGGGTTAGAAACTTCTGCAAGTTGTTCTTTCTTGATTCAGCATCAGTGGTGTTCTTCATCCACAGGCTGTTCTGATCTAACCACTGACACGTTAATTTTGTCAGTGTAGGATATATAACACATTGCACAGAATTTTTTCAATCACTTTCCCATTTCAAGTAGATTAAAATTCTACACCCCATGTGGCTTTCTGTCCATTAAGCTAACCCAGATGACATGAGACTTTTTTTGTGAATCCAATTCTCTACTAATTGACATATTGAGTCAGTCAATCAGTGCTGTCTTTTCCCAGAAGTAAGAAAAGAACAAAACCTCAGTGAAGATTCTAAAGTTCTGAAGACTTTTAAATAAAAATTACAGAAGCGTCATCCTTCTTCCCAAGCCATTCTAACAGGCATTAGATTATTTTTTCTGTTACATTCTGAGAGATTACTGGTGATATCAAAACATTGAGGCACGTGCTGTGCCCCCAGCAAATGCAGTAAGAAATTTGAAGATGGCATGATCTTAATTCTGTGGCCACTTTCAGCAATAACTTTTTATGTGGAATTTTAATGAGAATGAATGTCAAGGTGATGTTGGATGTTGTGACTTTTACATATGACTGAATAAAAAGAGTTTGGAAGCTGATGGTCTTCACTTTGGTATGTTCTGCTTTGAGGAGAGGATAAGTAGAAGATATTTGTCAGTGTTGTAAGTTAAACAAATGCACACTGAAAAGAACAAAATACCTCTAGAAAAATCTCTGAAAGTATAGTAATGGGCACAATTACTTGTGAGTTTGGATATGATAGCTGTATGTAATGGATAGCATAATTTTTATATGTAAGTCTAATTCTGTGGTTTCATTTTCATTTGAGAACCGCATGGCTCACAAATGAACCAGACTTTAAGCCTGCTTACTTGTCCTGTAAGGGAGGTGACAGAACTGACTGATGCCACTAAATTATTCACAGTATTGAAAATTAAAACTGACAGAAGTTGCAGAAGGTTTCAAGATATTGAGTGAAAGGAAAATAAAATGACATGTAATTCAATAACAATAAATGTCAAGTAACGCATACAGGAAAAATACTTTCAACTATGCATATGCAGTGTCAAGCTCTAAAGTACTTGTAACTGTTCTAGCAATCTTTTAGCATCGTTTTTCTATGGAAATGGAAGCTTTATACTTAACAGTTATCAGACAACTAAATTATTGGAAATGATTGGTAAAAGATCAGACAAAAAAAGCAGAGAACATCACTGTGCTGTGGTAAGTCCATGGTGCCCTCAGGCCTCAAATACTGAATGCAGTTGTGGTCATTCACTCTCAAAGGGAATGAAGCTTATCAAGAAAAAGTACAACTTGGTGATGCGAGGAAGATCTGAGTAGATAAGAACTTCAGCTTGGAAACAAAATACTTCATAGTATTATGTATGGCATGGGAAAGATGAATTGGAAATAATTATTCATGGTTTATGTAGAATAAGAATATGTGAGTGTCAAGTCAGCCACTTTAAAATAAGCAAGCATGTGTCTTTTCATAAGGTTTGATAGAAGTGCAAAAATTCAGTGCTATAGGTATTGCACATGCTAAAAGTGCAAAGACATATAAGGTAGGATTGGACATATAGGGGAGAAAAGGCTAGTAAGCATTATTAAATACAAAAAATTACACCTTCAGTTTAAGAAGTTTCTTAAGTCAAGAGCTACTTTACTAGAAACTAGAGCTGTGCTTTATGCTTGGTCTATTTCTTTTACTCCTTTTCTATACCTTTCCAGTTGTCAGAAGCAGGAGTACTAGGTTTGAGATTTTTTTGTTTGGTCCTGTACATATGCATTATAGCTGGGAGATGTGGATGTAGTGTGTATAGGAGTTTGTAGTGTTTCATTGCTATTTTGGGTGCTAATAACAGCACAGTCACAGCAGCACAGCCCTTGAATGCCATCATTACAGTTATACACTGGTGGCTTTGTGCAGTTAGGAATTCATCATGAAGTATATATCAGGCTATGTAGAAGATGGTAGGAACTCATATATGCCTAAGGTCATATTCAACCTATCTAGTCTGTTTAGGCTTAAAGAAGAATGTTTCCCTTTTTTTAAAAAAAATTAGTCTTAGTGATGAAGACTGAGACAAAAAAAAACCCAAACAGTTATACACTGGTGGCTTTGTGCAGTTAGGAATTCATCATGAAGTATATATCAGGCTATGTAGAAGATGGTAGGAACTCATATATGCCTAAGGTCATATTCAACCTATCTAGTCTGTTTAGGCTTAAAGAAGAATGTTTCCCTTTTTTTAAAAAAAATTAGTCTTAGTGATGAAGACTGAGACAAAAAAAAACCCAAACTGTGATGAAGACTGAGACAAAAAAAAACCCCATTTCTGACTGTCTTCATGTGTATGTGGAGATTTTAATCCATGTAGACATCAGCAGTCATTTAAAAGAAGAACAAGTGAATCTGTGTTTGAATATTCTCTGAAAATGCAAAAATACCAATACCATGCTTCTCTATACATAAACGACAGAAACTTGTGCAATTTACTGGTGAATTTATTAAAACTATTTTATGTGCTATTATACTTCAGTTTATTTCACCTCAGTAATTACTTGCATAATTCATAAATTGTTTACAAATTTGGGTACACATTAGTAAAAAACAGTGACCCAAATAGCATGGAGAGAAGATTGGGGTTGTGGAGTTAGGAAGTAGCTGATTTAAGGTTCATGTAAAATTTAATACTTGCTTCTCCCTTCAGCATATGCATTCTGATATGCTTTTGCATTACACAATAATTTTCCATAGGATTAGTGCTTCATTTAGTTGATCTCCCCAGCGCAATGAACTGACATGAGGCATACGCCTGCTACGGAGAATTCTATTCTAACCAGTTTGTTTGACAAAATTGAGGTTTGAGTTAGAAAAAGGTCAGAGAGAGCTACTACAATTATTTAAGACCTAAAGAATCTTCTTTACAATGACATTTGAAAATATATTTATCTTAGAAAAGACTTATGACTGGCTTAGCTACATGCACTAATGTGGAACGATTGCTGTTAATGCTAGATTAAAGTGAAAGAAGATTTTAAGTTTTAGAAATTGAAGTTGCATCATACTGCTGTATATGTCATCTTAATCAGCATCAGTCTGAGTCAACTCTCCTGCTGTTGAGTGATTCATAATATCTAGGGACCCTACGTTGCTTCAGGTGATTGAGAGCTGCTTCGCTTCTTCTTTTTTGTCTTACGCCTTTAATTTTCCACTTTCATGTGCCTCTTCATTTGAGGAGCATTGCAGTAGGTCGAACTAGTTTGTTGGACTGAAAGGTCTGAAGTACATACTTTTTAATTTCCTACCTCCCTGGTATGTTTTAACTGATACAGTACTGGTTGTAGAACAGCTTAGAAACCTACACTAATGCAGTTGTTGGAATGCAGTGTAGTTTTATTATTTAGCAGAAAAGACCATTAAATATTTCAAAATTATGAAGTGTTACAAAAGTCACTACGTCTATGATAGAGCATTATCTATATAGGTGTAAAGGCTATTTGTACTTGCAAGAGTAGTTTGACTTACATACCTCGAGCAGAATCCTTTTACCTCTTTTAGTGAAAGTATGTAGAAAAGCATCTTGTAGTAGATTTTTTTTTTCCTCTAAGTGAAAAAAAGCTGGACTAAGTGAATCTCTTAATGTCAGAGATTCATTTAACAGAGATCACCAGCTAGCAATGAAATAGTTGCTAATTGTAGTTACTGCTGACTAGAGGCTAACTTCACATAGTGACCCTTTTCATATAAACTTTCAGCTTCTATAGATGTTTCTTATTAATAGCTGCATATATCTAGGGAAAGTTTATCTTCTAGTATTCATTACTGAAGCAAAACACATGGGGGATTATAACACATTCTTGTTATGCCAAATCCTATCCATAGTGTAGTGAGAACCTACACAGCAATTTTATTTGTATAAATAAATCCAAGGACAATGTGTGCATTTATGATGCATGCTTAAACATTGCAGGGCTGTCCATCCATCCTCTCTCAAAACAAAGCATATCCTATCTAAATAAATTTTATTTTTACAGTGATTTAAGACTTATTAATTCTCTTATAAAGAATTCTATAATACACTTTTTGTAACTGAGCTATAGCCTAGTTTGTCATCAGTTGATTTCCAATGGAGCTAAGCTGACTAGTCCTGTGACAGAAGATAGATTTGTAACAATACCCTCGTGGACAATAAAGAGTTGACTGGATTATATTTTTTCATACTACAAATCTTAAGTATGGAAATTTAAATTTCAGTGAAAGACTGTGTATTACCAGAATGGAAGAAACTAAATTTTTTTTAAAGATTCTACACTAAGCTTAAGGATATTTCATTAGAGGTAGTACATCTTTCCTGATGTATTTTAATTCTTTGTAGTTTTGTTTTAGAAGGATGTTTCATGATTAGTTTATGGATTAAAGCATTGGGATTAAGATACTCTTAATATATTACATCTGCACTGAATTCTGTATTTTAAATTAAATATCCCTGCCAGTGAATTATACCAAAGGTACTGTTGTTTTCTATATAAAAGTGCATTACTGCCTGTAACTTCATGGCATTGTACCAGAGAAAAATGAACTTGGTGTCTTTATGTGATTATAGATGAATTTCCATGATTATTCATCTCTTTGACTAAGGGCTATAGCAGTGGAAAAAACATAGCTGATAGTGTTTCTCTGATCTATTTTTAACCCCTGTGAATAATCTAAGATGGATCTTCCTAATTCTCTGTTTTAGGTTGAAGACTGTGTCCTTCCACCACTAATGTCTTTGGTCCACAGTCAGAATGGTAAGTATATAGGCACATCAACTACAGTTTCCATGAATTCCACATTTAGTTTTAATTAGACTTCACTGTGGTCACATTCTTGGCACCTTTATTTTCAAGCGGCACGGAGACTCTTCAGCTTGCAGTTGCTCTCAGAAACCATATTGCTTTTGAGCCACGAGGTCATGGCTGAGAAGAAAGGGGAGAGCCTCAACTCAAGCAGCAAGCTCCTGTCTCCCATTAGAGATGTATTGCTGCCTCAGTAAGTATAATATTGCTCCTGTAATGGGGAATAACTTGATACTCAATCCATTTGGTCAGTGTATTTGTTTTAACTACCCTTTTTATGTTTAAGTGGCAAAACAAAAAGAGGGATAGCAATTAACTGCGGCCAAAGCTTTCTGCCCGACATCTTTCCTCGGTTTGTTTAGTATTTTGTCATATACAACACAAACACAACCTCTGTGTGACACTCATTTCTGATACTGTGCCTTTGGATGCTCTTGGAGCAAAACAACATCCCCTCTAACTTATGGGCTGTAATTCAAATGCTCCTCTTTATTAGCAGAACAAAGAGCATTCTAACAACAACACCTTTTGCCTATTTTGGATATTGTGCTTTCATGTAAGATGTTCTGAAATCATATGAAATGACATAACTTTTTCAAAAGGAATAGGTACAGGATGGATTAATCCTCCATGATCCACCTAGGGGTTATTGCCTCTAAATTGCTGTTCTTTCCTGCTGCCCCAAGCAGCAGAAAAACTCTACAGCAGAGTAGGTGAAACTATAGCCTGTGGGCCAGATGTGGCCTGGAACTTCATTTACATGGTTTATGGTCAAATGTAGCCTCCCATTTCGTACTGACTTGCAGGTGAGCATGAAGACAGCTCACTGTGTTGTGCACATACTGACTGTGAGCTGGTAACATCTGTGAGCAAAGGGAAGGAAGGCCCAAAAATAAGATGAGTGGAGTAATGATGAGTCATAATTTAATCTCTAATAATGTAAAAATGTATTTTCATGTGTGGTCCTCAAAAATTAATAATTGTAATTACTTAGCTGCCCTAAGTGAGAAAATTGCCCCCCATACCTACATTAAATGGCAGAGGGCTGCAGGAATGGATGCTGGGTTATGATCAGAAACACAATGATGGCTCCAAATATGAGACTGTCTCTTGCCAACTGAATAATGTTCTTATTTGTTTGAGGACCAAAGTTTTGTCCATGCAAGATGTGTAAACTTTTCTCTGCCACAGAGAATTGGAAGGAAACTTAGTGTTCTATAGAGAAACTTACTTACACACCTTTCTTCACATTTTTTTTCCCTCTGGGAAATATAGAATGTATCAATAAGAATTAAAATGAGAGCTGGAAATATTGTTTTTAAAATAGAGTATATGCATTATTAAAAGTTGTCAGATAATTTTCTTTAGCTAGGGGGAGAGACTTGGAGTCAAGGGAGCCTACTTGTAAAGATAATGTAAAGCTCTGTTCCAGGAAGTATGGGTTACTTGAAAACTCTGAGGTACAATGTTTGGAGGCTGAAGAGGTGTTTGATGTTGTTTAGTCTTTCTATTTGCTGGGTAAAGGATGGCACAGTGTGTGACTCAGCTGGAGGACAGTCAAAAGAGGGAAGGCATGTGATGGATGTTTGTCCATGGGCAGTCTGTGTGGGGAAGTGGGTTCTTCAAATCCTTTTGAGTCGACTGAGAGCTGAGAGCTGTTGAATATGGAAGGGATGGACATGAGGGTTTAATATGTGATGTTCTTTTTACATAAGGTTCTAATTGTACGTATTTATGTACATATACCATTCCTATAAATATCTTCCTCAAATTAATTTGTTTAAACGTAAAACTAATCCATGAATTAGAAAGTGGGTCACTATGCATGAACTTCATTTTGAGACAAGTGCAGGAGTTCAGTGATTACTACTTTTTTTCTCATCTTCTGCATCATCAAGAAAATGTAATTCCATTAAATATTTGTGCATTTGTAGATCAGAAAGTTATCTTCCTCATAGAGTTTTGATTGAATTGAATGGAATAGTGTTATTAAATTTCAGTTCACTGAAAGGTTATTTTTCCTGAGCATTTCATAACCAAAATGGAACTCGCAGCTATAGAGAACGAATACATAGCAAATGCTTTATATCCAGATTTTTTAATCAGAAATTGAACCATCAACTCTATTTCATTTTAATTCTTAATGTTCCTAGTTATATATCATTTGAAAATTGAGCCATAACCAGCAAAAAGAGAGGAATGTGTAAATAGAGTTTTATTTCATTTGAAAGGTTGTGAAGCTTGTTCTTAGTAGACTCCCAAGCCAATTTTGCAAGTACAAAGTCCAGGATACTTGAGATAATGTTCACTCTTTATTTATAGCTTGAGGGAGTCCATACCCCCAAATCTTTACATCCTTTTGTCATGATTGTTTATAGAAAAGATTCACAAAATAATTCCTTACAGTGTGGTAGCTGGAGTTTACAGAACCATTATAAAATGTCCTCAACAACTACTGTTACTAAATTGTTTTGTGTTTTGAAGTGGCAGCAAAATCATTCACTGATTCATTCATTTAATAAAGTGTGTCGAGCATGGAGTATTTTCCCTTCAGAGAAGATTAATGTATTTAAAGCTCTTAATGGCCTTTATTAAGGCAATGTATTTATATTAATTGCTAAGACACTGGCTTTAGTAATCTGTGTTTTCTCATGTGTTGTTTGGTTTGATGGATCACTGCACCTTCCCATAGAAATATCCTTTACTAATGTTAGCTTATGGGAGGGGAGAATAGAGTTTCAAGTTAAAGGAAATAAAGTGAGGCTTTTTTATTGAACCTTGAGGAATTAGTATGCTAAGTGTGCACCATAGTAATAGAGTATCTCAAATGTAATACATAGCAGGCTTAAAATTGTTTAAAGTGGACCCCGCTTAGGGAAGGTATTGATGTGTTTATATAAACAAGTATATTGCCAAGTGTCAGATTTTTAAGCTAGCATGGCTGATTCATTCATTATTACTCTTAGGAATTACTGTTTTGGAGACCTAAATCCATGTTTTATGCAGTGAGCAGATGATTTCTGGCATCTGAGTCACCTGATAGCATCTTTGCCTGCCATGGAAGATTTAGTCACGGATTCTGCAAAAAAAATTGCAAATAGTCTCTTATGTTTGGTAGGAGTATGTCTTACTCACACGTAGGGCTTTCAGGATCATTGTCTACTAATGTGTTACAGTATTGTTTCCTTTTAGGAAGGAAAGGGCTTTTTAATCACCAGTGTGAAATAGTTTTCTTTGAGGAACTGGCATCTGTCATTTCTAATGGAGAGATTTTATTCACTAAAGACATGAAGCCAACACTGACTTCTAACTGGTTAAATTCTGTAGATACTCTGATGTGGTTTGCAACTCTACAGCAGCACATTCAAAGGAGTATGTAGTAGCCATGACACGTTGCCCGTAAGCTGTGTGCTTATGTAGGAATGTTAGCCTCTGTGAAGGAGCTCCCACAGGATACATCAAGACTGCACAGCTAATGTGCTTCACCCTCCTTGTCGCAACCCTGATCAGAGACTTGGCTGGAAAGCACCAATTCTCCCTCTAGATTTCCTTCCCATGTCAATCAGAGTGCTGAGGTGTGGTGCCTGCAGAGAGGAAGAGCTGGCTCACAGTAGGGTACATGCCAGCATGAGGGCAATGGGAAGTGATGCATGCTCCTCAAGTCAGGCAGCACTAGGGACCTCAAAATGTGAAGCAAAATTCTCAGTGATTTGAATAATTCCACTGCCCACCCCCATCAGAACACTTTTTTTTTTTTTGGAAGCATTTTGTTGCACATAGTATAATCTGCCACATTTTCCTACAAATCTTCCTTTCATTTCTACTTGATTAGTTCTTCATGTTTTTTTCTTTCACAGATGAAGAGATTTATGCCTGCAATTCTATTACTTCCACATGTTTACAGTAGTACTATTTGTAATCAAAGACTGTGTTTTGACACAGATGAATCTGTGTTTTTCTGTGCTTACATCTTTCTCACTTCCATCGCTGTATCCTATTGCCATCCAGATACATTTTGATTTAAACACGTTAAAATGAGCCCTGTTTGTTGGGTGGGCATCACTGGAATGTTAGTAGCAACAGCAAGGCCCATTTTGTTTTTCAGCAGCCTGTTTTCCCTTACCAGCATTTCCATGAGGTGATATTTGGAATGTTTCAAAGATGTTTTTCTAGTAGTTTTATTTTCATATTGTTTGATAAACATTGTTTTGAAGTCTTTTTGTATTGTTCTGTTCCATATGAATTGGAGAATGGAAGTATGCTTAATGACAGCAAATATTTTTTGAAATTTGAAATAAAATATAAAGCTCAATGTGAGTTTTTCTCAATTTTGAGAAAAATAACTATGTTGACAAAATAT